GGGAACTAATGAAGAACTTTTCTTTATGCACCCTCTGCACACCACTCATGCTTTTATAGACCTCCATCATATCCCCCCTCAGTCTTCTCTTTTCTAAGCTGAAAAGTCCCAGTCTCTTTAGCTTCTCTTCATATGGGACCTGTTCCAAACCCCTGATCATTTTAGTTGCCCTTTTCTGAACCTTTTCCAAGGCCAAAACATCTTTTCTGGGGTAAGGAGACCACATCTGTACACAGTACTGAAGATATGGCGTACCATAGTTTGATACTCCTCCTTCTTCCCCTGGCTTCCCCCTTCCAGCTCCCTCCTCCCAGGTTTCCTCCTCCCCTCTCCCACCCTCTCTCTTCCCCTCTCCCACCTCCTTTTCCCAGTCTCCCCAGAGGTTAATCCTCCTTCCCCCAGTTTTGTTAAATAAAGAGAGTTTCTATTTTTGAACACACGTGTCCTTTATTTTTTACATCAGGAAGGGGGGCTAGGGAAGGGTAAGTGGAGAGAGGTGAGGGAGGAATGGGGTACGGGCCCCCGATGGGGAGGACGGGGTAGCTCTGCGGGCTCCTCGGGGTGGAAGATCTCCTGCCGCCCCCCGATTGACCCCCCCAAATGGCAGCCTGCGGCAAGTGAAGCCAGGCTGATGGCCGAGTGCTGTGATGTGCCGAGTGTGGGCACTCAGGGCACTCCAAGCCAGGACTGCTTTGCTGTCCCTCATCGAGTTAGACAAGCGATCGAGGAACCCCTGAGAATTGTCTGTCCGGGGTGGGGGTCGGGTCCCTTTAAGTACAGTCCTCGGCTAGCCTGAGACAGCAGCTCCACACTCTAAGTCCTAATCTGATGCCCTGCCAGCACTGCTTCCGGCCATCCTTAACCTCGTTTCAGGGTCCACTCAATGTGGACATGCTAGTTCGAATTAGAAAAATGCTAATTCGAACTAGTTTTTAGGTCTAGATGCACTAGTTCGAATTAAGTAATTCGAATTAAGTTAGTTCGAATTAGTGCTGCAGTGTAGACATATCCCTCTATACTTTGCAGATGTTCTCTCTTTTCCCTTGGCACACGTATACCACATAAACAAGATTTAGTGTTGGAAACGGACCTTGTATAGTCCTGGAGGAGTGTGTGCGCATTTGTTAAAGTATTTCCGTTTTTCTTTTTTAATGGACCTCAGTCTGAGGACAAAAATATTGTTAAGGTACTGTCAAAATACACAAGTCCAAGGATATGTCTACACTAGGAAATTACTTCTAAATAACTAAATGACATAATAACTCCCAAAATAACAAAATTGAAATAGCATGTCCCCGCTATGGAGAAGCCTCGAAATTTGTCCAAGCAGGTTGAATTAATGTGGATGCGCTACCTTGACTTAGAGCCCCAGGAATCACTGGGGAGTAATTAATTTAAATTACTCTGGGTAGTAGTTATTTCAAAATAGCACCAGAGCTTCCATGCTAACACTATTTTAAAGTAACCATTTTGAAATTAGCATTATTCCCTGAGGAAAGGAGGAATACAGATTTTGAAATAATCAGCCCATTATTTTGAAATAACAGGCTTGGTAGGTGGATGCTCTGCTTATAAATTTGAAATAAGGGGGTTATTTCGAAATAACTCTCTAGTGTAGACTAGGGTGAAGAGACCAGTTAAGGGTGTGGAGTTGTTGTGTATTTTAAGTGCTCATCCTACAGAAAGTAGACTCCCCACCCCCACCTTCTTCATGTCTTGCTTTTGTTTCTGTGACCAGTAGAGACAGGAAATAACATGCTATTCAGTAAGTAAACTATGAAGCCCCACTTCAGGAACTGTCAGCAACTGATAACTTGATATGTGACAGATAATCACTGTAGACATGACTTTTATGTAGGCAGCCTGGCACCAGCAAAAAGTTATCTTTTGTTTAAATTGTTTAATTGTCATTCTGTACAATATTCTTTGTCCTGTAATGCTTTTGTCAGTTTTTTCTAGTTATTTAAACTACAGCATAATGCCTAGCAAATTTTCTTTCATGTGTTTAGAATTTTCCACTGAGATCCCAAAGAACTGTCCCGTAGCTGTATCAGATAGTATCAGTCTTGGGGCAGTGCCTGATAATGTGCACACAAAGATTTTCTGCTAGCAGATGAAAATTGTCAGGAATCTCAGTGCTCCTGCTTTCCATGGTGCCTGCTAATGTGGCTTAACCCTGTGTTGTTAGGCACAGTCATATTTAAAAAATTGAGATGTAATGTAGCCCAGATCTCACCTAGGCATCCAGTCAATCTTGAGCACAAATTAGAAAGTTGTTTCATTGGAAAATTGTGTTTTCATTTTAAAGGCAGACTTTGTGCTGTCTTTGATTTCTTCCTTATTAATTTGGAAAGTATGAGCCAAGAATACATTTTGTTGTACATTTGTTTCAGATTCAAATTAAATCCCTTCACCCCTATGCAAAGAATTTATTACAAAGGAATAGTTTGGTGATGTTATCATGGTTTGATCTCACCCTGATCTATAGGCAAATCTTTTTGTTCTTAAATGAAGCAAATATAGGAATTAAGACATTTCTTTGATTATTGGGAGATATTAGTCTTCCCCTCTCTCTAAGGGTGTGATTAGACTACACCCTTTTTTCGATAGAGAGATGTAGATTAGGTACATCAAAATTGCTAATGAAGCAGGGATTTAAATATCCTGTCTTTAATTAGCATAAATATGGCCACTGCTTTTTTTCAAAATGAAGTTTTTAAAAAAAACCGGCAGTCTAGACACGGATCTGTCAAAAATAAACCCTTTTTCGACAGATCCTGTAAACCTCATTTTTGAGGAATACGAGATCTGTCGAAAAAGGGTTTATTTTCTACATCCACGTATAGACTGCCATTTTTTTCGAAAAAAGTCCATTTCGAAAAAAGCGGTGGCCATGTTCATGCTAATGAAGTGCAGGATATTTAAATCCCTGCTTCATTAGCAGTTTTGATGTGCTTGATTTGCATCCCTCTGTCGACAGAGGGATGCAGTCTAGACATAGCCTAAGAGCTGTCCAGAAATGTGGAAACTGAGCTTTTTAAGCTAGTCAATGCAATTTTAATCATTGACTGGCTATATCTCTTTGAGGGAGAGATCTCTTAATTTTTCAAAATGTACTGGTTTTTTTTAGTTTTTGGTCTTCTTCCTTGTAAGCCAGTTAAAACAGACCAATAGATGAGATTTACTAAAAACTCAAATGTCAGTTAGATTCCTAACTAATGTCAATTTTCAGTTACCAATAAGTGCCTGATTGCATTTGTACCGGTGGGGGAATCTCCTCTCAAATAATGTAGGAGTAGAACAGGTAGTATATATGGATATATAGAGAACTTGAAATTTAAAGCTTGGAAGTACCAAAGAGAGAGAGAAACAAATGTAGCAGTGAGAGGGAACAAAACTAAATAATAGAGAAATTACGGTATTGGGCATAATAGGCTTCCTTACCAAGTATCATAGCATGCCCCCACTGCCTAATCAAAACAGTTATGTGAATAGTAGTCTCAGATTGGAAAAATCATATGGATGTATCATAAAAGAAACAAACTATGTTTCTTTTCAACATAGTATGTTGAAAATGTCATGATTCCTGCTATTCTTGATAGTGGCACCATGGTCTAGCAAGCGAAGGATTGCTAATTAGGAATCAGAACTCTAATACAGTTTTGCCATTGACATTCAGTGTGACCTTGAGCATTTGCTTCTCTACATCCGTTTGTCCATTTGAAAAAAGGGTATAATTATTCATTTGTACCTACCTCAGTTACGATGATTAGCTAGTTAATAGGTCAGATTGATGCTTCCTGGCACAGGTATGTAAGCACTATGTCTCTCTGTGCCAGGGAGGCAACCAGGGCCTAGTGTGTGAGTCACCTGATGGACAGAAGCTAGACAATGCCATCCACCTTTGAGGGAGGAGATGGGCCATTCCCCACCCAACCAGCTGAGAGAAGTTCTACTGATGGGATCCAATGTAGAGCACACAGTTAAACAAATCAGTGTTTTTTGGAAGATACATAGTATAATTATTTTTTCCACAGTACTTCTTGATATTATTGCAAAAATGCTCCACCAATAACTCTTGGGTCTTCTTGAATACTATTGTATTATTTTAACTACAAATTGTCTTGGAGGCACTACTTTAACACATTACTTTTTGGCCCAACTGTGCCTGGATTGCCTATTATAAAGTAAAAGATTTGGAAAAGCTTTGAATTTTGCTAATCTATTCTTCGCTAACCCCAGCACTTGATGATTTACATAAGAAACGTCTATCTTTCCTTATCTTTCAGCAAATAATTTATAGCTATGTGCTGTAGCAAAGTCTCAGTACCTCATGAGTTTAGAAAAAATATAGTATTATATTTTACAAGTAAAATATGGAATGTTACTATGAAGCATATTTTGTGATGTTTTCTCCTTCCTGACTTTTTGTTTCCCTGATAATATTAAAAATTCAGTGATTCACAAAGGTATCTTTGTGAAATAGCAACATTCTAAAATTGTATTAACTTGCATTAACTACTATGCTAGAATTGTGAATTGCTGAAATTTGGACAACTGAATGATCTAATCAAACATTATTTAGTTCATATAGATAGATTCCAAATCTAAAACATCGAATGTTTAGTGCTGCCAACCTTGAATAGACCCATTTGCTTACAGTAGTAAAGTGTAGCCCATTGAATATAATGGAACTGTTGCAGAGTAGCAAGTGTTTCCAAGACTTAGCCAAAACAATGTAGAGTAATTCAGGCAAGAGCTGATGCTGACTATAATCTTCCCTAAATGACATTGTATAAATCTGCAGTAACTCCAAATGCAGTCAGTGAAATTACTTCAAATTAATACCATTGTAATCTAGACTAGGATCTAGTCCTGTGTATTTTGTCACTAAAGTTTTTGACAATATGAACCTATGTAAATAGTAATGATAATAAATATCAGGATTTTAATATTCACCATGTTTGATTGTACTTTTTGTGTCTTTTTCTTTAATATAGCTTTGGGCCAGATTATGCTGTATGTAGATGGAATGAATGGAGTAATAAATCACAATGAAACCATCCAATGGCTGTATACTCTCATTGGATCAAAGGTAAGAATATCTCCAGATTACTTGTTTTATACATCTTAAGTCTTTTAAAAATATTTTTCCTATGGGGAGGGGGAGAAGACATTCCAGTGAGAAATTTAAGTATTGATTGATTGATTGATTGATTGATTAAGTATAGAAAAAACAATGAAGTTGTGTAGATAATTTAGAGTTTTCCAGCATTCATAAAACAAAATAACTTGTCAGCTGACTCTAGAGCCTGACATCTTAGCTATTTCCTAAATATAGTTCTTCTTCAAGTGCTTGCTCATGTCCATTCCACTTAGGTGTGTGCACACCGCGTGCACAGATTGTCGGAGAGTTTTCCCTTAGCTGTACCCAACAGGCCAGCAGGGGAGCCCCTTGGAATGGCACCGCCATAGCAGCACATATATACCCTTGCTGGCTCTCAACCCCTCAGTTCCTTCTTACTGCCCATGATGGTTGTTGGAGCTCTTATCTCACTTGCTCACAAGCCTGATACCAGCGGTATTTGCACTTAGCAGTTACTTAGCACCTAGCTGACTCCCATTGGTCTCTAAGTTACTTTCCTCTTTTTTTGTTCGTTGTTTGTTCATAGTTATAGTTAGTTAGTGTTCGTGTTGGGTCAGAGTTCAACCACTGCATCCTCTTCCCACCCCATCCCCGGGGCATGCCAGGTCCTCACGATTCGTGCTTAAAAGTGTCTGGGTGAGCCCCACATCCCATCCAACTGCAAGATCTGTTGCAGTTTTAAGTCCTGGGCTCAGGCAAGAGAAGCTCATGCTTGAAAATACTCCTGATGGCCTCTCTGCATTTCCCAGGGGGTTCACAAAATGTATGGCAGTGGTCACTGCATCCTGAGGAAAAGGAGGATTCAGGTTTACCCCATCTAGACGACTGGCTTATAAAGGGTTCCTCCCTTTCAGACATATCTCTCGTCAGAGAGACCTTTCTCAGGCTGGGCCTCATCTTAAACAAGGCCAAGTCCATTGTGACCCACACCCAAACTATAGAGTTCGTGGAGGGCCAGTCTGGATGTGATGTGGGCGAAGGCCTTCTTGCCCATGGCCCACTTCATGGCAATGAAGGAGGCCGTCCTGAGGCTCCAGTCATTCTCCACCTTGATGGCCTGATGTTGTATGAGGTTGTTCAGATTCATGGTGGTCTGTACTGCCTGCTGTTTAGACCCAGACCAAGAGGTGCACCTCGAGGCCATCTCGGCCTTAGACTTAGGGTTGCGAGGCAGGTCTGTTTTCATGGACCCTATGGTGCATCGTTTCCTTAAGGGATGGGATAGGGTTTACTCCCAGGGTTTACCCCTGCTGTCCTGGGACCTTAACCTGGTGCTCTCTGGACTCATGACCCCTCCCTTCGAGTCGTTGACAATGTGCTCCTGCCTGGAAAGTGTCTTTCCTCATGGCCATTACCTCCACTGGCAGGTTTCAGAGCTGCAGGCTTTAATGATGGACAGCCACAAACCTTGGGACGGTGTCAGTAACCCCTCTATGTTGGGGCTCCCAAAGGTTGTTAACACTTGCAGGAACTGAACCAGTGTTATAAGTAGTGGGGAAAGTAGTGAAATTCTTTAGAGATGATGGGTCTAGGGAGAAAGGGTTTTCTTTCCTCATTTCCATACAGATATTTGTGCAACATAAAGGAGAGCATAAGAGTTCCAGAGTCCCCTTTCCCACTGTAAAGCACTCCTTCCAATGCACAGAATGCACTGCTGCAAGAGATGAAATCAAAAACTGGGGCTGGATTACTAGAACTGCTAGGTCATCTTCAGATGACCAATATTATTGGTAGATATTAACAGTAAGATAATGATGAGGTTGGCTAATCTGAAGTTTTCTGGTCATCTTGTGGTTGGATGGAAGATCAGGAAGGATTTTTTCACTCCATGTAGATCATTCCATAGTTTGCTGGACACATAATCAGGTAGCTTGTCTTCTTGGAACATCAAGTATTCGCCACTGCCAGAAAGAAGATGTCAGTATAGACGTAGAGATCATTTGGTGGGTATGGATTCTAGCTTTCTATAAAACATATAAAAGTAAAAAACAAGCAAGAAAAATAAATGTTAAGTTACTGAGTACGCTGATCCTCTAATTCTACCATGATGTGGGAAACACCATAGCATTACTTTGTAAATCTGAAATGGAGTTTGTTGATTGTCTTTACCAAAGCACTACATCACTGGAGTCTTTAAGCTCCTCCTTACCCGCATTGTCAGCCAAAATGATTATATCCATATCTTGGCTCAGTGCCTATGGCCAGGGAGTGCAGACAATGTGTTTTGAATAGTTTGGTTTCAGGTAGCATCAAAGTTATTTTTTTCATTATTACTTTAACTGTCTTGGAAGAGATCTAAGTCCCTGTCCATGTGCCAAAAGTTAATCGAAGGTATGACAAGCTTACTAGCAGAATGTGTGGTGTGACAGCTGCTTTATACACTTAAATGTGAATTTGGCTCTCCATAAGAAATGAATCTGTGGAATTTGCAATATACCTACAGTCTAATTTACAGCCTAGCTAAACTACTACTTTTTTTGCAACAAAGGGAAAATTGTTTTAAAGTTTTTGAGTAAAAAAGGATGCAGAAATTGCTAAATCTGCAATGTAAATATTGAAACAATTCCTTTTGGAAGCACACAGAAGGTAAACAACGTATCATTTAATCAAGTACTTTAGCAGTGACTGGCACATGTTGTTTCTTGCCTTTACTTAAAAGCTTTGTAGAGACTTAGGAAATCAATTATCACAGATGGTTGAATAATTTTCACTGAAAATCTTTTCTGACAAATTCCATAATATTTTAGATTTTTTTTATAATTATTTGTTAAATTCTGCACATTTGGGCTCTGTTTCTGGCTCCCTTACTCACTTTGAATAGTATTACCCAATGGACTTATCTATATTAGGGTTTTTTTCTATTACATTCCCTACCATTACTTACTATTGCAGTTCCATCTCTGGTAGCCAACAGAACTGGACACTTAGTGTAGATGGATTACCATCAGCCGCTGACATTTTCAACACTGCATTGCCTATATGTGCTGTGAACAGAGTTCAAGGACACAATGGTTAAAATTCCAGCAGGCGGTTTGCACTAGTGCACCTACCATAGTTTCACTAGTAGAGCTGCACCAATGGCCTCAGTGGTAAGAAACTGTAAATAAGAAGGGAGGGTTCATGTTATACACAAACTATGTGAGTAAGAGTGGGACAATAGGGTGCTAAGATGGCGCTTCAAGTTAATGATAAGTGCACAACTTGAGGGTAGCAATGTACTTCTTCCATGTTCATTTTAAGGGATGGGATAACATGACATTATATAATCATGATTAAAACATATCACTAAAACATATCACTAAAATCATAGCACTTACATAGGCCTTTATTCAGCAGTACCCGTCATTTCCCACAACTTCCACTATATTTAGCAAAGTCCTTCACTATGCGTTAACTGTGGTTAAGATCCATTGGGCAATGGAACTTAAGTACATATCTAAAATTAGCCATGCTTTTCAGGCTAGGGTTGGACTTAAGTATATATGTAAAAGCTTTTCTGAATTGGCCCATAGAGCATTTCAAGCTCTTTAGGCAGGTATGTAGATACCAATAAAAGTTTCAAACACTCAAACTTTTTATGATAATTAAGGGATTGAACAGCCATCAGATACGTCTGTTTATAAAAATAAAGCTCTTTTGGCTCTCAGGTAAAGTGGATGAAGAGTTTGAAGGACGTGGGGGGAAAAAGAAGTCTAAAACTGAAACCTTAGGTTTTGGAATGGAAAACTAGCTCTTCCTACCTTTTCTGTCAATTTCATCTTTTCATCATCTCATCTTTCTCACATTATTCCTACTCATCCCCCTCTCACCTGTCTATGTACAAGATTACATTTAGAATCTAGCAAGATATCAAAGTTAAGTAACAAGAGAGAAGATTTTTAAAGCATGAAGGAGAAGAAGGCACCAAAGTCTCATAGACTTTCAGTAGATTTTTGAAAGTCTCCTTCCTTGTAGGTTAACATTTCTGGTAGTTCTCAGATAATTTTTTTAAAGTTAATATAGTGACATTATGGGTCATTCTGCTTAGTTGTATCACCCAACTTCTGTTGGTGAGAGAGATTTCTCTTTGGTGAGCTTACACAGAACTCATCTTTGTTCTCTAGTATCTTGGGACCAACATCGCTACCAAATTTCATATGCCCTAGACAAGTGGGCATCAATCTTTTTTTCAATCACAGCCCCCTAAAAATGTTCAAAAAGAGCTGTGGACACCTTTGGAAACCTATTGTCTGTTTTTGTAGTTGAATTCTGTTCCATCAGTTTTCAGTTTCAGTCTTTCATGGGCCCATGGGCCCACTGGGGTTATGTGCATGGCCAGTGAAAAGAGCAACAAAAATGATTAAAGGCCAAAAAACATGAGCTGTGAGGGAAGACTGAAAGGATTGGACTTACTTGGTTTAGAAAAGAGAAGACTGAAAGGGGACATGATAGCGGTTTTCAAGTATCTAATGGGGTGTTACAAGGAAGAGGGAGAAAAATTGTTCTCCTTGGCTTCTAATGATAAGACCAGAAGCAATGGGCTAAATTGCAGCAAGGAAGGTTTAGGTTGGACCTTAGGAAATACTTCCTAACTGTCAGGGAAGTATTAAACACTGGAATAAATTGCCTAGGGAGGTTGTGAAATCTCCATCACTTGAGATATTTAAGAGCAGTTTGGATAGACATCTATCAGGGATGATCTAGACTAAGGGTTCCCAAACTTTTGACACAGGGACCTGTAAATCCATTCACGAGCTTTTGGAGGACTGGTAACATTCATTTGCATATTTGCATATTCATTAAGCAAATGATAAATATGCAAATAAGTTGTTTCTGATCCTCCCAACACCCCCAGTGCCAACTTTAGCAAAGCTTTTGATATGGTCACCCACAATATTCTTGCCAGCAAGTTAAGGGAATATGGATTGGCTAAATGGACTGTAAGACGGATAGAAAGCTGGCTAGACCAG